GTTTACATAGAAAAACAATGGAAAAGTAGTGCATCGGAATGGAAAAACGTGTTCTGTGTGAACGGCCCCTTATGTGATTGGAATGATATATGTTTAATTTTGGTGTTAAATATTTGTTTAATCTCTGCAAAAAGCAGAAACATAACTTGAGAAAAAAGTAACTGCAAGATAAACACTTCCATCCATTGACTGAAAATGGTTTTGATTGTCGGGGTCTGACAGGAACTGGTCAGGACAAAGACATATAGATGGCAGACACAAAACCAAGACTCTCCCCTGAGAAATGAAACCCTTCTGTCTCACTGGGACACGGTGAGTTCATGCACGCCTCTTTTCCTCATCTGTTACTCTTTTTATTTTCTTTTTTCTCATATTATAAAAATAAAGCAGAACTATTCCCCACAATACAGAGCGCTGTGACGGCTGGATTCATTGTTGTCTCATGTGTAACCTCTGCTGACACTCTTACTCTCAGACGCTTTCAACCCAGTTCCAGCGCTTGTCATCAAGTGAAACCAGCTGTGGCCAGTGTTTCCTTTCATTTCCAAGACTGAAAGCTGAAGCTGAATATTATTTCTTTTGAATATAAATATGTGTGAACATGAATTGACTTTACAAGCACACTGCATTTCATGCTGCAGAAATACTTCTACTTTTTTGGTTGTACTGTATAATAACAGTTCGGTAGTTCATGCACAAATAATGAATATGTATTTTCTTGAACATACATGTCACTGAAAATACATAAATCATCTGAAAATCTGTTTTTGTGTCCCAATTCGCATGTCCATTCAATGCTTCTAATGCTATTGCAACATTTCTTTAGTTGTGATGATTGTGTTGTGTTGACAACTTGTTTTCAAATGGACCAACCGTCCTTGCATCTGTCATTTTTAGTGGATTTTTGGGGAAATTAAAAATGCTCTTGTGCCCTTGAAGGAATGGGATCTAACCCTTATACTAATGGGTTATTATAAGGCATATGCGATGGTAACTTCAAGGAAATGATTTTACTGTTTAGGATGATGTAACTTATTGTGGCGAGTCCTCAAAAGATTCATTTAAGTATATTTTAATATTTGGTTTTGCAAGTTTTAAGACATGTCTATAAATTAAACAAATGAACAACAATAAATTAGGTGTTCTTGTCAAAAGAACAGCTAATGAGGTGATAGAAACTGTGCTGCATTGTCATGGTAAGATAAAGAGGAACTCGCATTGTCTTTTACTGCTCCCTTTGCCATTCTACATATATTAAACTGTATTTAAAAATGATGACCAGCCTTAAAAAAAACTACTGTAAGTTATGATACTAGGCTAAGGTCTTGTCATTTCAACACTGGATATATTTTAATATTTGGTTTTGCAAGTTTTAAGACATGTCTATAAATTAAACAAATGAACAACAATAAATTAGGCGTTCTTGTCAAAAGAACAGCTAATGAGGTGATAGAAGCTGTGCTGCATTGTCATGGTAAGATAAAGAGGAACTCGCATTGTCTTTTACTGCTCCCTTTGCCATTCTACATATATTAAACTGTATTTAAAAATGATGACCAGCCTTAAAAAAAACTACTGTAAGTTATGATACTAGGCTAAGGTCTTGTCATTTCAACACTGGACGACTGCATTGCTCTATCAACTGGCCTTCTTATCAGTGTTGCCAAGTCAATTGGGCTACTTTAACACTGGTGGTTTTTCATGTCCGTGGGTTGAAGCGACTCCAATAACATGACATTTATCCCCTGGAATTCGAATTTTAGCAGGGGAACCATGCCAAAAACCGCATATTTTTTACCCCCCAGAACGTGATTTTTAACTGGGGACCCCCTCGAAACAACATCGGGCTAGTTTTGAGTAGCGATTGGGCGGGTTTTCTTGTGAAAACCTGGCAACCCTGCCTTCTATCCAGTGCAAGGTAATACAGAATGTGGAGGCACATCTGGGCTGCGTTTCTCAAAAGCGTAAGCTTAAAGGGATAGTTCACCCCAAAATGAAAATTCTGTCATTAATTACTCACCCTCATGTCGTTCCAAACCTGTAAGACCTTCGTTCATCTTCTGAACACAAATTAAGATATTTTTGATGAAATCCGAGAGCTCTCTGATCCTCCCATAGACAGCAACACAACTGTAATGTTCCCAGGTCCAGAAACGTAAGGACATCGGTAAAACAGTCCATCAGTGACTCAGCTTCAATTTTGTGAAGCTACGGGAATACTTTTTGTGCGCAAAGAAAACAAAAATAACGACTATATTCAACAACTCTTCTCCCCGAGTTACTGTCTTCCGCCATTTTGGAGAACGTATCACAACGCATACGCATGCTTTCCCCTAAGCATAAACAACGTTAATTACGCCGATTACATTCATGCACATACTGTACGTTCTTTCCACACAAAAAGTATTCACTGATGTCACATGGACTGTTTTACCGATGTCCTTGCTACATTTTCTGGACCTGGGAACATTACAGTAGCGTTGCTGTCTATGGGAGGAACAGAGAGCTCTCGGATTTCATCAAAAATATCTTAATTTGTTTTCCGAAGATGAACGAAGGTCTTATGGGTTTGGAACGACATGAGGGTGAGTAATTAATGACAGAATTTTCATTTTGGGGTGAACTAACCTTTTAAGCGTAATCGTAAGCTAAGTTGATCGTAGAGACCATTGGTGGCAATGGCTCAGGGTTACGATGCTTTTGGGAAACGCAGCCCTGGTCTTCAGTCATCCCAAGAGAACCCATATCACACGTCTCCTAAACTCACTCCACTGAAGTCACACTTCTACCACAAGCAAGCACTTAAAGGGACGGTTCAACCAACTGTTTCTTTCTTCTGCTGGATTCAAAAGAAGATATTTTGAAGAATGTGGGTAACCGAACAGTTGCTGATAGCCATTGACTGCCATTGAATTTTTTCCCCCTTCAACCACTCAACAACCTTAACCAAGGCATTTAGTAACTAACTAACTAACTAAATGTTTTGGTTACACAAGCTTCAGTCTGGATCCAGAACACCTGAGAAGAGATGATGCCAACCCCTCAGAGGACCTCAGATGATGCCAACCCTGAAACAACATACAGAACTACCACATTTTGCTATAAGTTTGATTGCATCATATAATAATTGCTGTTAATACTGTTCATCGTCTGTTTGATTACGTCTTTAATTGATTTTGCCATACATTTCTGCCATATGTACATTAACTGACAGTCACCACTGATAAACTACCACTAAATATTGTAGAAACTTAATTTGCTGAAAAGTTGCTTTGCAATGATTTGTATCGTGAAAAGCGCTGTACAAATAAACTTGACTTGACTTGACTTTTGCTTAGTGTCACTAATATAGTATGACTGTTCAAAGAACCACCTAAACTAAGCATCCTGTGCATAAAACCTCTAACATAACGTTCTGAGCATAAAACTTCAAACACATTAAAATCTGTCTTTCTGCATTGTAAATTTTTACCAGTTTTTACCATACTTTCAAAACAAAAATTAAAATAGGAAAAATATGCAATATGAAAATAATTGAAGACAAAATGTTTTACTGAGAAAAAACAAGATTTGGTTTTTAAAAAGCCTTTTTCCAAAAGGTACATCTGGAAAAAGGGGGGGTCGTCTTATAATCAGGGTCGTCTTATATTCGGGCCAATACGGTACGTTACTTAGTTACTTTTTGTGTAAAGTTACTTTTTATGGTTACTTTTTAAATCTGGGCAGGGCTTGCTTGTTTGTTTTTTAATATAAAAAGCTCTTCTTTTACAAATGTAAAAGCCCTTTCGCACCAAAAGTGAAATAAATACGCCTCAGGCTGAAGGAAATGTAAATCCACGTCTGTACAGTAGAGGGCGCAGCTCAAACAAATTGCATGAAGAATATGACGCAGGAGAAGAAAGTTCAACACTATTCAGCAATAACAAAACAGTTTTCTTAATGAACTTAAACCGTTAATGGATAATTAATTGGAGGAGCATGGGCGCACCGTCCGCAGAGAGCAAAAGCTAGCCTATCAGTAGGCTACCGCAAGAGCAATTCGCGAGCAGACGCGGGTTACGGTCATAGCAGTGTCTCCAGCGCGGCTGGCCGCGCAAGCTTTGATGATGACAGCTAATTCACAATTTACCAGACTCACTCACTGCATTTCATCCCCTGCTTTAATAGGGTTACAAACTCTTTTCATGCTATATTAATGTTATAATGCATATTGTGTCATGTTTATCAAAACGCCTCTGCACTTACTCCCGATTTCTCTCAACATGGCAACACGAGAGCTGTTAGCCAATGAATGGGAAAACAAAGTAACTGACGTTACTTATTTGAAAAAGTAACTCCGATATCTCCTTCTAAATTAAAAAGTAATGCGTTACTTTAAAAAAGTAATCCGATTACATAACTCGCATTACTTGTAATGCGTTACCCCCATCACTGTGTATCAGTTGTTTTAAATTTAATACATGAATTTAGTTAACTTATTAATTATATGCATAGCCTGGGTTTGTTAAATTTGTTGAATATGTCTGTTTAATGATAGTAAAAAAAAACTATATTTATATAACTATATTAAATGTGTTTTCATAATTTCTAATTAAGACATAGGATCATTTTCTGATAAATAACTTTACCTGAAAAGACATTTGTCTGCTGATCTTCTCGAAAATAACTTAGTATCTAAATTACATGTTTAAAAACAATTAAAGTGGCCCACTTTACCTGAAATAACTTGCCTGAGTGAAGCGTATCAGATGACCTTATTTTGTGAAGTGTGCTGAACCAATCGGAGCTGATCACGGCTGAAGAGTCCACCAACGAGAGTCCGCGGGAGGAGCGGCTCTTCATCCGCGTGCGGAAGCGCCTCAAAGTCTGGCTGACCGTCAAGAGCTCCATCAGTGCGCCTCTGTGCTCCTGGATGGACTGCAGCAGCGTCTGAAACTTTCCGGCTGCGGGAAACCACACTGGATTCGAGCGTCTCGGGTCTGAACGCAGAAGCGGTCATCATGACGGAGGAGCAGGATAAGTCCGGCGCGGAGCCGCCGTGCAGTCCAGCCGGCTCGTCCAGCTCCATGTCCCCGGAGGAGTCTGACTCTGACGCGCCGGCATCCCCCGCCGGACCCGGCGTGATCACGAAGCTGGAGCGCGAGGACGACCGGTTCCCCGTGTGCATCAGGGACGCGGTGTCCCAGGTGCTGAAGGGCTACGACTGGTCCCTGGTGCCCATGCCGGCGCGGGGCAGCGGCGCGATCAAGAGCAAGCCGCACGTCAAGAGACCCATGAACGCCTTCATGGTTTGGGCTCAAGCCGCGCGCAGGAAGCTGGCGGATCAGTACCCACACCTGCACAACGCCGAGCTCAGCAAGACCCTCGGCAAACTCTGGAGGTGAGTTCAATCACTTTATTATTATACATGCATAAACACACACACATCATTATTAATATTGCATTTTAATATTACAAGAAAAACTTAATCTTCAAATGCCTTCAAATAAATAAACATAAAATGATGCATATAGACAACGCCCTATAATAATAATAATTATTATTATTAACTCATTAAAAAAATTTAAGCTTGAGATGTACATTTTTGGTTACACTTTATTTTAAGGTGTCCTTGTTACAGTGTAATTATACATTTAAGTACTGAGTGATATTAATTAAATACATGCACTTACTTTAGGATTAGCGTTACTTGCATGTAAATTATGCATCATTCATTGTTATTATAATAGTAACTACATGTGTAACAAGCGCACCATAAAATAAAGTGCTACCAAATTTCCTGCAATTATCCTGAGTTCTATAACAAAATGCATTATTACTTAGAAATTATAAAATGTACATATTTAAATGCATTTAATCTCTGTCATCTTTGGACGTAATATTTAAGCAATATTTGAAGAGTTCAAATGCAAAAGCCTTTAAGTGCCATCTGAAATGTTCTTCTAAAATGAGCATTTTATGTTCAGTTATTTCACTTTAATGTCAATGAAAAGAACCTATTCTTAGCCAAATTATTAGTAAGCGAAATGACTGAACCTACACATAGGAGTATGAAAAAAATGCTCATTTTTGAAGAACATTTCAAACAGTACTTAGAGGCTTTTGCATCTGAACTCTACATTTATACTTTCTGTAAATTATTCAGTATCTTTTGATCTTAAAGTCTAAAATCAGTTATATTTTGTCATGTTTGTGTGTAATTCAGTCATATTTTGTGTGTAAAGTAGTGGGCAGCATATTTGACAACATATTTCTGATCCAATTCCCTTATCTCCTCAGTAGTTTTTTTTTTTGTCTGTTTCCTAACTTTCCTATCAAATAAAGGTAGAAAATCCCCAAAATATAACAAAAAAAACCTGAATGCATTGATAAATATCACTCTGAGTGAAAGTGAATCTTGACCGATGGTCACTCGACAGGCTGTTGACGGAGAATGAAAAGAGACCGTTTGTGGAGGAAGCCGAAAGACTGAGAGTTCAGCACAAGAAAGATCACCCGGATTACAAATACCAGCCGAGGCGACGAAAGAGTGTGAAGCCCGGTCAGAGGTTGCAAAGGGGTGGAAAATGTCCGGGAACTTTCCAAAAATCCCTGGAATATTCCAAAAACAATCCTGGAAAGTTTCCAAAATTTCTGGAATATTTCCAAAATTTACTGGAAAGTTTCCACCTTTTTGCAACCCTAATTCTGTGTAAATACTGATTGCATTTAGTGGGCAGCACTCCGACATATCTCTCCTCTGCAGTTGCTTTTGTCAGTTTCCTAACTTTCCTATCAAATAAAGCTATAAAGGCAAAAAATATCACTTTAAAATCTGATAAATATAATAGTTAATCTCGACCGATGGTCACTCAAAAAGACTGTTGACGGAGAATGAAAGACGCTATGTGATGCATACAAATGTATAACTCCAGCTTCATTATTATCCTCAGGCCAGCCTCATGGACCCCCGACACCTCCTACAACGCCCAAAACGGACTTCCATCACGGAGGAAAGCCAGACCCCAAGCATGAAGGCAGACGTCTGCTTGACGGCACGCGACAGAACATCGACTTCAGCAACGTTGACATCTCAGAGCTCAGCACGGACGTCATCAGCAACATGGAGGCCTTCGACGTGCACGAGTTCGACCAGTACCTGCCTCCGAGCGGCCACGCCGGAGCCGCTCCAGACGGTCAGGGCGCCAGCTCCTACGCCTCGCCCTACAGCCACCCTGCCAGCTGCGGGGCCTCCTGGAGCCGCAAGGGGCCCGTGGCGTCCTCGCCGCCCGGCACGAGCGAAGCCAGCCAGCACAGAGCTCGCATTAAAACTGAGCAGCTGAGTCCGAGCCACTACAGCGAGCACTCGCCCGAGTATGGCGTTTACAGTGCTCACGGATCCTCGGCCGCCTCCGCCTCGTTCGCCAGCGACTATACAGACCTTCAGAGCTCCGGCTACTACAGCCCATACGCCGGCTACCCATCCGGTCTCTACCAGTACCCCTACTTCCATTCCTCACGGAGGCCATACGGGAGCAACATCCTCAACGGCCTGTCCATCCCACCCTCCCACAGTCCCTCCGCCAGCTGGGATCAGCCGGTTTACACCACGTTATCCAGGCCGTGAGGCCCGGCCGCTTTGTGCTGCGTCCCTTACTATAATGAAGGACGGTCGCCGTGATTTCGCCAAGTAAGACGTGTTCCTGGATGGGGTTGGGAATCGAAAATCAATTCCGATTCCATAATCGGATACTTAAGGTCAGGAATCGGATACTTGTCGTAAAATTCAAATTTCAATTCCACTTACCGATTCCTTTTTTTTAGTTGGTGAAAAGGGGCTGTTGAAAATGTAGCCTAGCTATTTGTCTTTGAATCATTCATTCAAGAGATTCGTTCAAATACACTGATTCATCCAGTAATGAGTCTTGAGCGAGTCATTGAATCGTTCCATTCATAAATTCCATGAGATTTTGTTTAGTTGTCTAATATTTTTTCTTCAGAATTGTGAGAGAACTTTTAAAAAAAGACTCAATTTGTCCAGAATCGTGCCGCTCTATGTTGCACACCAACAGCTCTTAATCGAGTCCAGTTTTTATGTAGCCGGCTGATTTTTGTTCATGGTATTCAGCAGCCGTTCAATGTTTTGCAAAAAGAATATGTTTGATATCTAAATGTTGGACTCTATTTTTTTTAACCACATTGGAATCAAAACAGGGAATCGGTAAGAATCGGAATCGATAAGCAGAATCGGAATCGATTCAATTTAAACGATTCCCAACCCTATTCATGGATCAACATCTTTTGTTGATCCTGGATCAACATTATCGTCCTAACGTTAGCCCTACCTCTAAACCTAACCCTACCCATAATTTAGCCCAAAAATCAGAAGGAAATGATAGTTGAATAAAACCTAACTCTGGTTGTAAGGCTAAAACTGACATTATCTGTAAACTTATCCCTCAATTCTGATTGGTTGCTGGGAATGTTGTTCCAGGATCAACAAGGACGTTGATCCAGGAACATTTTGCACTCGGTGAAATCACGTTCACCAATGAAGGACGACGCTAGCTGAAGGGGTTTGTGCCAACTAATTGAGCGATGAGTGCCTGCTGATTTTTCGACACATCAGAACATTGACGGTTGGTGCTAAACGTGATGCATTTGAAGAGCCAGCAGAAATCCTCTGTGAGGACTGCCGGACGCTCCAGGATCGGGACCAATGAATATTCCGGAAGCGTTAGCTTCATTCAGAATCTCGCTGGTTAATCCTTTTTTTTTTTAACCTAAAACATGTTCATTTTTAATTCGCTGTTTCATATATATTTATGTTGTGTTGTCATTTTTTATCATTTGTTTCTGTTTTACAGTACTTACAAAAGCTGAAAGGGTGGAGGGCTGAAATGATTTCGATAAACAGCCGTATCTTTTTGGACATTATTTTTGAAAGCATTCCTGTGTGTGTGTGTGTGTGTGTTAATTGTTAGCAGTTATTTTCACTGTTATTTTACGTATGCATCATTTTAGTGAGCACTTTTAACACGTCAAAGGCTCTTCGGTTGCAGCAAGCTCATTAATAATTGCATTTATAACATCGCCAGTCGTTGATATCACGTTTGTTGGCATTGACCGTCTTGAATTAAATCGGTTTCGTTTAATTATATAGCAATCCGTTGAACATTTGAATTACCTTTTAGGCTGTGAAACACAAACACACAAAACAGTGGTTTACTCTACGTTGTTTTATTCTTGTGTATAATTTAAAAACGACTTCTCTTTTGTTAACAGGCTCGCTCTTACAAAATGCTAACAGCAATCGCTGGCAATATTTGTGAAGAAAAATAAATTTATTTTAAAATTGTTTGTCTAAACTTTCACTAAGCTGATGGCTACTATTGTGCTTGTGAATACTAATTTTCAAAAAGCAATTGTGTTTAATTTCTTTTGGTGTCTGTTTTTGCGAAAACAGTAAAAAAAAAAACATTTCAGTAAAATTAACCGATAAATGTTTTTTTTACCAAGTTTGAATAAATTAATGAGTTTTTTTGGAAATACCGAGCAAATATGTATACACCAAAAGATATTAAATGATTGTTATACTTTGGGAAATAATAAGTCTCTGTTTGAAGCAGCTGCTGCAGTGACATTCTTAGCAGCAGTTTGTCTTACATCTGCAACTGAAGCAGCTGTCAGCGTAAAGACAGGCTGCCGTGATTTTATTCAACAAATGCTTCTGTCGTTTTCTGACCATGTCTAATTCTAATAACATTTTAGTTACCATTTTGTAAGACATAAACAATGTTTACCGCAAGGACAAGCGGTTTGGAAAATGGCTGGATGATAAACAACACTACAGGCTTTTTAATTATTTTAGTGTGGTTCATTTCAAGCGATACATGAGCAAAGTTGTTTGCATTTTAGAGCCGCATTCACAGATGAGAAAAAAAACCAGTGTGATTCTAAGTGCATATATGAATGATCAACATGCTACACATTCCCAGTCGTTATTGTAATTCTGTTTAATGACGTGTTTTGAGAGAATTACATATCTGTCCATTCCAACACAATTGAAGCAGCTGCTGCAGTGACATTCTTAGCAGCAGTTTGTCTTGCATCTGCAACTGAAGCAGCAGCAGCTGTCAGCGTAAAGACAGGCTGCCGTGATTTTATTCAACAAATGCTCCTGTCGTTTTCTGACCATGTCTAATTGTAATAACATTTTAGTTACCATTTTGTAAGACATAAACAATGTTTACCGCAAGGACAAGCGGTTTGGAAAATGGTTGGATGATAAACAACACTACAGGCTTTTTAATTATTTTAGTGTGGTTCATTTCAAGCGATACATGAGCAAACTTGTTTGCATTTTAGAGCCGCATTCACAGATGAGAAAAAAAACCAGTGTGATTCTAAGTGCATATATGAATGATCAACATGCTACACATTCCCAGTCGTTATTGTAATTCTGTTTAATGACGTGTTTTGAGAGAATTACATATCTGTCCATTCCAACACAAGTTTGACACGAAGAGGAAAGTCGTATTCATGTTCCATAAATATATGCGATATTTGTAGCAATAGCTAACAATACATCGTATGGGTCAAAATTATAGATTTTTGTTTTATGGCAAAAATCATTAGGATATTAAGTAAAGATCATGTTCCACGAAGATATTTTGTAAATTTCCTACCGTAAATATATTAAAACGTAATTTTTGATTAGTAATATGCATGGCTAAGAACTTAATTTTGGACAACTTTAAAGGAGATTTTCTCAATATTTAGATTTTTTTGCACCCTCAGATTCCAGATTTTCAAATAGTTGTATCTCGGCCAATTATTGACCAATCCTAATCAATGGAAAGCTTATTTATTTAGCGTTCAGATGATGTATAAATCTCAATTTCCAAAAATTGACCCTTGTTACTGGTTTTGTGGTCACATATTTCACTTTTTAATCTTGTTGTAGTCATACATGGAACTTGTTTGTCAGGACAGAAACTCGGATGAGGAAAAGCATGGAAATGCATGTCAGCTGCTGAGAGATTCGGAGCGTCCGGGGCTGTGCTCTGCTGGGTTGAATTTCAAAGCGGGGTCTGGCATTCATGCCAAGCAGTCCGGGGAGGAAACACGGTGCCACCGCAAAGAACTGCTGAATTTTAATGATCTATTCTATTATGTGCTGGAGGGCTCTATTGTCTCTCTTTCTCCGGGAAGTAAGAAAAGAATTAATTGGACAGAAAATGGAGGGGCAGGAAAACTGACAGTCATTAGGAGGGATGTGAATGGATGATTACACGCACACGGCTGGATTTCTTCCCCATACTGTATGCTTTAACAGGAATACAGCCCGATGACCAGTATTGCAATTAGGAAAACTTCAGCTCATAATCGTGACAACAGCGATGATAATAATAAAACGGATAATTAATGAGCAGATGGGATGTGGGTGGCTTTAGGAAGACTAGTTTTTCTCTCGTTTCCTCTTGCGTTGGCCAGATAGTTTGAGGAGGAACTCTTCAGAGAGAGCAGACGTGACTCAAGCGCATGAAATAAAGGCACTCGGGTCTCATTTCACTCTCAGACATCCTTTAGAAATCAGCTTCTGCACAGTGAAACACAAGTGATGGATAACAAACACACACAGGGTTTACTTAGTTATTTAAATGGGGACATTCCATAAACCTCTATCGTTTTAATATATAGCTAGTTATAAATGCTGCAAACTTTCATACAGAAAACGTTCTGCATCTTAAATTTTCAATTATAATAATACAGAATTAAGTTTTTTTAAAATCTAAAATGCACAGGATAAGGAGATGGAAAGTACAGTTTGTACAGTAGAAAAACCATGAAGTCTATGGAGAGTATCCATTAAACATGGAAAACGTGTGTGTTGTTTTAGGAGGAGAAGCCCGGTGGATTTGTTGTGAGCTTGAGGATTCTGGGAACTTGGGACTGATTTGCAAGGGAAATGAAATAGACTTGAGTGTGAATCCACTTTCTCTTTCTGCAGCCACTTTTTGGATTTCTTATAGTGTTTCCGCTTTGAATTATTACCTCAAAACTACAACAGAGAAAAATAAGCGTACAAGTCTCACTAAACGTCACTGTATTTGAAACAAGATTTGCCGATAACTATTTAATAATGTCATAAAAGATGGTTAGCATCTCAAAGCTCGGCTTTTCTCACTACATTTTTCCGATCCCTGTTGAAAAAACCAGCATATGCTGGTTTAAGCTGGTCCTTTTGCTGGTTTATGCTGGTCCTTTGCTGGTTTATGCTGGTTTAAGCTGGTCTTTTGCTGGTTTATGCTGGTCCTTTTGTTGGATTATGCTGGTCCTTTGCTAGCACATGACCAGCATAAACCAGCAAAAACCAGCAAAGGACCATTTTAAACCAGCAAAGGACCAGTTTAGACCAGCAAAAGGACCAGCATAAACCAGCAAAGGACCATTTTAAACCAGCAAAGGACCAGTTTAGACCAGTAAAAGGACCAGCATAAACCAGCATCCCAGCGTCAAAACATACCTAACCAGCATATGCTGGTTAGGTATGTTTTGACGCTGGGATGCTGGTTTATGCTGGTCCTTTGCTAGCACATGACCAGCATAAACCAGCATCCCAGCGTCAAAACATACCTAACCAGCATATGCTGGTTAGGTATGTTTTGACGCTGGGATGCTGGTTTATGCTGGTCCTTTGCTAGCACATGACCA